ATGTAAATGTCCATTTCACATGCCTGGTATAAAAGGTGTTTTAGAAACACAAATCAGAAGGGCTCAAGACCTTTTATTCTTGACCATAGCTGTGTCTGTTGGCCAGGGCAGCCCTCCCAGGGATACAGGACCCCTTTTTTGTTCTGTGCCTGTCAGTCCGTTGGAAGCTGGATCTTAGGAGTCATGCTTGCTATTCTCCACTCTCTTCCTCCCTTGGAGGCTGAAACAGGCATGGTCCCTAAGCTTGGTGGAGCCAGTAGGCAGGTCCTGGACCTTAGCCTATACTCCAGCACCAGAGTCCTGTGTGTGTGTGTGTGTGTGTGTGTGTGTGTGTGTGTGTGTGTGCATGTATATACATGGGGAACCTTATGCAAATGTGTGCAATGGGACAGGATCACTGTCACACCTGTTTAATTTAGAGGTCCAGACTTGTTAACAACAAAAGCCTTTAATGTGGCAAAGACAATAAAACCAAACTTAATAAACTGTTGATTAACAGACACCCTACTACACAGAAGAAAGTGAAAGTACAAAAAGAAACATGTCACCAAATAGGAAGAGTTCCAACTGGGGGCAGGAAGGGCTGCTCAGGGCAAGGCTTACCTGAGTGACTAGCTCACAAGTGAATCCTCTGCAGGACTCTGGGTGCTGTGATCACATTACTCTGAGGGCAGAGCTTCTTTGGCACCCAGGGTCAGCAGCCAGCACTCCTCACCGTGCCCTTGCCAACATCGGATCGACATAAGGGGCATCGATTAAATGTCCTTGTAGATGAGGCAATTGTATTGGTCTCTCTGAAATAGTTGCCACTTAAGCTCTACATGCTGAGCCTTCAGGGCCTCTGGCGCTTCAGACTCCACTGTAGCCTGGCTACAATGTGGGCAGATTTTCTCCTGTCCAGGGGCAACAGCAGTGGGAAATGAGACACAGGCAGGAGTGATGTTTGCTACTCGGGCTCTTCACTTTAGTCCCCAATGGCTGCCTATGATTGCTGCATCCCCTTCAATCTGTCCCCTCAGGGACATGATGGTGGAACTTTTCCAAGGGAAGCATGACATGCAGAAAGCAGCCTCTGGTGTGATGTTTCCCCAGGACTCCCAACCCCAGATGCTCTTGGCCATTTTCTATTCAGGGCAGCCTGTAGGTGCTGCCTGAAGGATACACCCAGGGTATGCAGGTGCCCCAGCCCTGTGCAGACAAGGAGAGAGGCCCTCATTTGGCTTAGAAACATCCTGGGAACCTAGACAAGGAGCTTGCAAAGTCTATTTGCCCCATCCAGTCTTATCTTCCTCTGTACTACCTCCCAGCTCTATTATGCACTGGCTGGCTCCCTGAAAAGTATTGCCAGAGGGACAGAAGAGATTCATTCCCCAACCAGGATGGGCCAGTGCAGAAACAGGAAGACAGGAGAACAGGAAGATTGCAGTGGTGGTGAAGTGAATGGCCACCACTTTTATACCTTCCCGGATCTGGTCTGTCAGAAGCTGCTTTGCCCATGTATTCTGCCCATGACTATAGGTCACTTGCATCCCCAATCAGATTACATGGCTACATCTTGTTCCCAGCCTCTTGTTTTGATCTTAGTGATTGGCAGGTTACATCTTGTCCTCCAGCCAGCCTGCCATGGCCCTAAACTCCAACCTGAAATAAATACATAAAATACATACTCTTTCCACATGTACCATATATAATTTATGCATGCACACACAGCACTATGCACCCATAGGTAAACAGAGTGGTTCTTCAGTTCACAAATGTTGTGTTCACCAAATTGTTCACAGACAGACTCTTTCGGCAAAAGTTTGTTTTTCTTTGTGAACTCTGCATTTAGTTTGAATAAGACCATGACCATCTTTCCCTCACAAAAACGAACATGGCTATCTTTTCCAGAATTTTGGAAGGAATTAAGCTGGTGACATGAGGTACCACTGTAGAGTCTACGTGGACACTTTACGCACTTTCTTTTTATAGAAAAAAGACCACACAATATTTGGGAGAGATGCAAAATAACTTCCTGGCTCGAAATGATCCCTGAAAGGTGAAAGTCGCTCTGGGCTATGAAGAATTAAGTCACTTCACAGAAACAGGGTATGCCCCAATCCTTTGCTGCTGCTCTCCCTCTTCTCACTCAACATCCATCTTTCAGGAGGGTTGGGAGATCTCGCACTGGCTGCTGAGGAGACCTCATAGGAGGCCATGGTTGTTCTTGACAAGTTCTCCATAACCTTGGGCTCCTCAGCTGGACCCCTGACATCAGCCCTGGAGACACTGGGCAGTGTTGTGCGCCTGACCACTCACTCCCCTCTCCTCCCATGGCTGCCACAGCAGGGAACTGCAGGAGTTTGAGGGAAGCTGACAGAATGGGGCAGGATTAGATTCCAGGCTGTGCTGACTGCTAGAGAGGGCAGAGGGGTCCTGCAGAATCTTGTTCCGCTCTTTCTGTCAGACCGTGGACACAATGCCTGATGTGACATCCACTGACTCCCCTACTCATGGGGTAGTTTGACACCGGGGCCTTGTTCCACATTCTGGGCTTCAGGGACGGACTGGGCTGTATTAGGTCAGCTTGAGACCAGACCTGACTCTGCACTTCGGGGAGGGATCTTGGAGTAAGCGCCCCTTTCCAGCTCAGGGGAACCTAGGCCTGGCTCTGAGGGGAACAGATCTGGGCTCTGCCAGGAACCAAGCTGATGACCCGTAGGAGCACAGAGGGGGAACCAGAGAACCCCGTTCTGCCCCTGCTGTCAGCCCTGGGAGGCCGCTGACATCACAGCGTCTCACTTTGTGGGATTAGAGTGATGTGAGGGCCTATTCTGAGTGCTGTACTTCGGGTGAGGAGACTAGAGTGGGCCAGGCTCAGAGGAGAGTGAAGGTGATGGCCTGTGGGGCTGTGAAGAAACCTCCTCCCAGCCAGGTTCCCCACTCAATCCCTATGTAGCCTTCTTGTCAGCTGGACCCCACAGGGGCAGAATTTTAAGAACTAGCCCCTTCCGCATCAGCCTCAGAGGAGTCTTGGGGTCATAGCCTTGGTCTGAGGGGAACTGACTCAGATCTGCAGAGGATGGGGATGGAGGTTCTGACAGGAACCAAGGTGAGGGCCCCTGAAGGGGAGATTGGGACTAGGGTAATCCCTTCTCCCGCTGCTGTCAGCCTTGCAAGGCCCCAGGCTGGTTGCTGGGTGTGGCTCTCACAGATTCCTGACTTCTGGGGTCACAGTGATGCATGGTCCCTGTTCTCTGTGTTCTCAGCTTTGAGTGTAGAGAGGGGAGAGAGCCAGGCTCGATTAGGGGTCAGGTAGAGAAGCTCTGTGAGGAGTGAGGAAGGCTTGTCACAGAGGGAGGGTCCCAGCCAATCTAGAAAGGCTTCTGTTGCTTGTCGTGTACTTCGTGGTGCAGAACTTGCAGAGCAGAATCCACTTTAGCTTCACTGGAGGACTGTGCTTCGGGTGGGAGAAACAGCAAGCCTTGGGCCCAGTTGGCATCTACAGGTAATATACACCTGCCTGCTTTTGTCAGCCAAGCACTCACCGCACAGGGAGCACTTGGAAGACTCCACAGAAGCCTGCTCTTTCTCCAGGCTAGGGAAGTCCCCTGCAAGGTGACCAGGGAGGGGCTTCCTGATTCTGCAGCCAGCTCTGTGGGAGCTTAAGGGCTCCGAGGAAGCAACTCGGCCTCAGCAGAAGGAGCGGCCCAGTTTCTGTCCCCAGTCAAGTTGAGAAATGAGGCAGGACAGAAGTTCGCATGACCCGTGATCCATGGGACTTAGCTTGCCTATGTTTTCAAACTGAATTGCATCCTGCTTTGATTCGAAGTGAGGGCACTCAGGTGTGCAGAGGGAGGCGGCTCTTTCAGAGGCACAAGGGAGGACTGTCCGAGATTTTTTATTAGTACGTGTTTGCGGTACATAAGGATTACATTTTGGCAGAGTGTTGATACATGGACCTAACACATCTTACTTCTTTTTTTTATCTCTTTCTTCTCCCTCCCTACTCTACCACCTCTTTGCATCCTCTTCTTCTGGCAAAGATCTGTTTCTCTGTTTCTTATTATCTCTTTGTCATTTTGCTCTTTAATTTGTTCATACTTTGGGTTTCCCACATAATGGAAAACATGCAGTATTTAAGGTGGTGTGTCTGCTTTACTTCATTGAATATTATGGACTCGAGGTACATCCATTTTCCTAAAAATGACTCATTTATCCATCTTTATGGTAGAGTAGTACTCCATTGTTTATGAATGACATGTATTCTTTTTTAAAAAAAATTTGTTTATTTTTGGTACAGGGGATCGAACTCTGGTCCTTGTGCTTGAGCGGCAGGTGGCCGGACCACTGAGCTAAATCCCCAGCCCAGTGCCTTGTATTCTTTATCTCTTCTTTCATTATCTGCTTTGGAAATTTAGCTGTTATCAGTTGGGCTATTATATACATGAGCTGCATGTAACCATTGTAAGATGACAGCCTTACGTCTTTCAGGAAGATTCGCAGGAGGGCAGGAACTGAATTGAATGGCATTTCTAGTTATAGCTCTCTGAGAAATCTCCATGCTGGTTTCTGTAGGGGTTGCACCAGTTTTTGCTCCCATCCACAGTGTGGACAACATATATAGTTGACAATAGATTTCTCTGTACTTGGCTAATGTTTTCTGTGCTGCAGGTTGACTTATCACGCTGCTGGTCATTTCCTTTGCTGTTCCAACTTTTCAGTTTGATAGAATCATATTTGCTGAGGTTACTTCTTGTAGAGTTGGGGTTCAGAACACTATTGTGTCTACCTTGCCTTCTTGATCAGAGGGTGACCTCCACCCGCTGTCAGCCCTTGCAGGCACAGGGTACCTGAGGCCCTGACTCTTGGTATGAGAGTGGAATGGCCCTGGTCGGAGGAGTGTGGCCTCGGGTCAACAGATCCAAGATAGGGGAAGCTGCTGGGATTCTGGATGGCCCCAGGCAGGACAGTGAGGAAGATCCACAATACCCAGCTTCCACCTCTGCAGTCACAGGGAGATGGCGGCCTTGGGATGTAAGGTGCCTGTGAAGGGCAGCAGAGGGGAAATGTGGACACCTGGGGAAGCTCCAGGTACAGGAGGACCCTGGAACCTGCTCCTTGTGCCCCAAACCTGGGAAAACCCCCTGCATTGGTTTGCAACAATGTTGCGTCCTCACGTCTGTCTCCCTGGTCTCAGGGACATCAGGCCTTGGTGAGTCACCAGGTCTGGAAAGGATCCCAGCCTGATCAGCTGAGTGAGGACACCAGGAGCTTCCATGAGTCAAGGTGAGGATCTCATAAAAAGTAACCCATAACCCCCCAAACATGTGATTTCACTTAGCTTGGCTTCCATTGTTATCAGCCTGGGCGACCCACTCCAGGAACCTAGGTAAGAGTAGAGGGAACCACTTACTCTAAGATAAAGGACCTGAGCCTTAAACTGTCTCTCTCCTGTCATCTGTGGGAAGACCCAGGGAGTACAGATGGACTGGCTTCCCCTCACTTCCGCTTTGAATGTCTTAATGTGATATACGGCTTAGGTTTTAAAAAGATGTGATCATCCCAGGGATGGTCACAGACCTTACCAAATATCGAGGTGAGGACAAAGGAGTCCCCCATTCCAGAACACGTGGACGATACAGAATTTGGCCCTAACTTGTTGTAGGCCCCGGGCCAGGTGTGGCCAGATATGGGAGCCCTCATAGCCTTTTGTTTTCTCTCAGGGAAGTGGCCACATGTTCTGAGAGTTCCAGTCCAGAAAGAGAGTGTTGGGGTCCAGGCCCTGACATGGGACAGTTCATGGTCCAGAGTGAGCAGAGAGGGGACCATGCACCCAAAACAGTGGGGACCTCAGAGTCTAGACCTCATCTCTGGTGATAGATGGGGGACTAGGACTGTGCTTGTGGTCTTTTGTCTCGGGGTCCCTCCATGCCCTACAGTAGCTCCAGGAACCAGCAGCTGAAGGCCTTGGTCTGAAGGAGTGTCCACAGGTCACACAGCAGAGAAGACCTAAGGAGTCTCCGGAGCCAAGGTGAGGAACCTGCCCTGATGTGTGCCAAGATCTCTGCCCAGTTCAGAAGAGAGGGGACCCTGTGATGCTTGGCGGCATTCGCTTCACTATGTCTTCTGGATCCTCATCCTCTGTGGGCTGCTGCATCCTGCAGAGCAGTCTCACTTCTGCTCGCAGGTTTCCTGGGGACAGGTATTCCAGTAGAACAGGAGCCTGCGAGGCCCTAGAGAGCCACAGAAAAAGTAGAAACACAACCAGCTCTTGCAGAGCTTACAAGGGTGAGGTTCTCAGTAGAGGCTTCTCACAGGTTTGCGCTCTCTCTCTCTCTCTCTCTCTCTCTCTCTCTCTCTCTCTCTCTCTCCCAGGCCTCTGAGTCCCCATCACCAAGCACCTGCCTGCTGTTCCTTACCAGAATCATCATGTCTGAATCTCCAAAGCACCCCCAGCCTCAGGATGACCCTGAAGACCAAAGTGAGACACCTGGTTTGTGTGTGGGCAGGTTTCCTCTGCTGTATAGGAGGCCACCTCTTTCCCTCTCATGGCATTTCTCTCACTCTCCTATTCCTTCTCTTCTCTGATCCTAGGCACCATAGAAGAAGTTTCTGCTGCTGGAACGCTGGGTCCTCCTCAGTGCTCTCCTCCAAATGCCATGAGCAGCACCCCATTGAGCCAGTCCCATGGCAGATACAGCAGCGAAGAAGAGGAGGGCACATTCTCCTATCAGGCCCTGCCAGACACGGAGACCTTGATTGGTTATGCCATACATGGTAACTTGGGTAATTTGGTGACATTCCTGTTCCAGAAGTATCAAATGAAGGTGCTCACCACTAAGACAGAAATTCTGCAGAGTGTTTGTCAAGGTTATGAGCAGCATTTTTCTGAGATCTTCAGGCTAGTCTCTGAGTGCTCATATCTGGTCTTTGGCATTGATGTGAAGGAAGTGGACCCTCCCAGTGAATCTTATGTCCTTGTCCACGCCCTGGGTCTCACCTATGATGGGATTGTGGATGATGATCAAAGGTTCCCCAAGACCAGTCTCCTGATAATCGTCCTGGGCGTCATCTTCCTTCAGGGCAACTGTGCCCGCGAGGAGGTCATATGGGAAGTGCTGAGTGGCATAGGGGTGCGTGCTGGGGAGGAGCACTTTATCTATGGAGAGCCCCGGAAATTCATCACCAAGGATTTGGTGCAGGAACAGTACCTGGAGTACGAGCAGGTGCCCAACAGCGATCCTCCTCGGTAGGAGTAGCTGTGGGGCCCAAGGGCCCACACTGAAACCTCCAAGATGAAAGTTCTAGAATTTTTGGCCAAGCTTGATGGTACCACCCCCAGTGCCTTTTCTGTCTCTTATGAGGAGGCTTTGAGAGATGAAGAAGAGAGAGCTGAACTTCGAGGACCACCGGAGTGATGATGTTTTGGGCCATGGCGTGTTTATTATTCCACAGCCATATCTAGCAGGTTCTACTGCTGCAAGAGAATTCAGAGGCATATTTTTCACTCTGTGTTTGAAAAGAGCATGCCCTTTTGCAAGTAGTGCAGACTCAGAATGCAGTTTGTGTGCGTTCAGTATATACCATCTTTGCATGTCATTTTGATGTGTTGGCTTGGAGATTTTTTTCTTTTTGACATTTCTTCAAAATTTTGTTTGTTTTAATAGAAGTTTAACTTGAAGTTCTAAATGTTTAACGACATTGGTCACAAACATATGCTGTTATCCATCTTAAGACTTTTGTCGTGTTGGAAGGAAAACTGGTATTTTCTGTTCTGTTTTGTGATCTGGAACAAGACAACATGGCTTTGAAATGCAACCTTTCTTGGAAATGTAAAAGAAATCATCAGTGACATAAAGAGATGAGGTAAATAGAGAAAAAGTTTCAAGACAGTTAATTTTGACCTTGCTTTATTAGTATTCTTGTATTCTGTAAAGTAAAAAAAGAAAAAGAAATGTGCCTGTATATTGTTGGGTTTTTCAAACAATTTCAGAAATGCAATCTGAATGAAGAACCCCATCACCTCATGCATGCATTGAGGCCAAACCTTCACTGAGGAAGTGTTCTTTGGAAGGCCCTGTGTTTGTGGTTTAAACGAGTAAATTAGGCTGAGCAGGACCCACCCTCACCTTCAGGATGGCACAGTCTGAGCAGCAGCCATGTCAGTGAGGTGGAAAGATGTCCTCCAGGACCTAAAGAAGAAGAGCAGTGAGAGCCTGGGGCCCAGCAGAGAGCAGCCCAGGGAGAATGTGGAGTCAGGGCCATTTTCCAGAAAGCCCCCTCTTTCGATGGGAATTGAATGTAACGTAGATGCATGGTGTCTGAGCCCCGACATGTGTAAAATCATGGGGCTGAAAGTGGAAAATTTCTCTGAGAGGTTCCTGTTTCATGGGTGAAGCAGAGAGGAATGTTCACTTGGGTCAGATATGGGACGTGTCCTGAGTCTTGTTCCAGTGCACATGGACACAACACAGGAAGTAGGAAATAGGTGATTCATACCCCCCCAACTGCAAGGCTTACCAGGGAAGTATGAAGATATGTCTTTGAAGCAAGCCCACAAAGCTCCAGAATGACCCATTTTCCTGCCCTGAGAAAGCCCTGGGTAGTCCACTGGTGCACTGTTTCGTGTTACCTTTAGTGTCATTGTGCAACTCTAAGCAAGGAATAGGCTTTGGATGGAAAAAATGAATGAAAGCAGTGGCTAGAGTGGAAAATCACCTGGGAGGGAAGGAGCTGGTCGTTCAGTCACATCTAGGAGACTGAGCTGCACCCCCTGGGGGAGACTCCTCCATACACTAATTTTGTCACATGACCTCTAAGAGGGAGGAGTCACTGAATTTTAGTCATGAAATTTCCCACAGAGCTGCAGTCTCTGGTATTTCCTGGAGAGCAGTGACAATAAGACCAACATCCCTGAGTGCTAGAGGTGAGATCGAATCCTTGTAGAAACAGCAGCCACCCACTGTTCAGTGTGCTCAGGGTTCCAAACATTGACTGGGCTGGGTGCTTTCCACGTGGTGCACACCCTCTTGCAGTCCTCCCGGATGCTCGTGATCAGACCTGCTTCACGGATGAACAGCTCCAGTCTCCCAGGGCTTGGAACTGCCCAGGTGACTGGCTGGTATGTGACAGGGCTGGGTGAGTGTCTCCCTCTGAACACGTGGAGCCCCCTGCTCCAGTCTGGGGCCCAACTTGTGACTTACAAACATTTCTAAGCTCAGCATTGTGCCTGTCTCACAACCAAAAGAAAGACCTGGAGAGGCCAGTGTACAGCGAGCAGTCCTAGAGAGGTGACAGAATCAAACACACATGGGGAAACCTCTAGGGTTGGTTCCTTGAGAGCCAACAGTGCTGAACTCTGGGCATGTCTGTCCAGTGCCTTGCACTGACTGCTGAGCAACTCCCTTCCCTGGATGGTTCTCCATGTGCCCTCCCTTCCAGCTCTGGCACCCACTGTGTTGCCCAGCCCTTCCCTGCTGCCTCCTCTAGAGTCCCTCCCATGGCACTGAGCATTCCTACTTCCTTCCCGAGTCTCTGGCTTTCTCCACATTCCTCTTGGTTCCTTCTGATACCTATGGCACTTGGTCATAAAGGTTCACTCAAATGCATAACGTCACATGTGTTATGTCACCAGATGGACGTGTTTTGGTCACCCAGGACTAATGTCACCTGGTTTAACTGTGTCCTCATGACTCCATTGCACTTTACACTGTGATGGCGGTACGTATGCAGGTCCTATCTGGCGATCCTAGAGGATCTGTGCTACACTGAAAGCATTGGAGGTGGCTCGCGTGTGCACGCATGCTTGCCTTGGCGCTGGGCCCCAGGTGAGGAAGGACCAGAAAGCTGAATCTCCAGCCAGGGTTCTGTTGGGGGCCAGCGGGGAAGAGACAACTGTGTGAAGGCTCCAAATCTTCTTCATTCCCAGTCTCACCCACCGATATCCTCATCCCCGACCTTGAACATTCATTTCTTAGTCTGACTTTTGTAGACATTTCCCAGGGGAAAATGCTTCTGCTTCTGTGAGCTTTGAGGATTTGAAAGCAAATGTGCCTGTCTTTTGGGGACTGTGACCTTTTCCACAAAGGATCCTAGCACCACTAGAGGCTGCTGCAGAGGGCGTGGATGTTGTAGTCCATTTGTGGGAGTCGGGATGCCACTTCCTTCTAAGCTGTGAATTTTAGTTATGGTTCTACCATGTCTGCTACTTTAAAAGAGACTCACTTCCCCTCCTTGACATCGTGAGGTGATTCTACTTCTAAGACAATAACAACTGGTGAGAAATAACAGTTCTGCAGTCATCCTATATATTTCAAAGTGCTTGATAGCTAGATAAGATCATAAGGCTAAACCTACTGTTCTCACGGCAATACTGGTTTAACTAATATCCTGGGTGTTCAATAACTGAAGTTTAGGGACTAAAGGTAACTGGGTTGAGAAGACAGCCAGTGTATTGGCCCTGGCCTTCTGAGGTCAGCAGGGACCTAGGATAGGAGGAGACCTGTCCTAGAAAATTCTACAACTTTGGTAAGTCAACCAACCTCCTGAGCAAGGACATTGTTAGATCCAAAAGAACAGTAGTCATCCAAGGCACAGTGTGATGAAAGGAGGCTCACTAAAATGAGAAATGTCTTCTGTGCTTCCACAGGAAGCTATATGGTCAAGCAAGAATGGTGACGAATCCTGAAGGCCCACACTGAAAGAAGAGCTGAGAGGTTCTACACACGGTCCCACGAATAACCCCTGGGAAGCCTTAACTGATGTTCATATCTCACCCCCTCAAAAGGAGGATTCTGATAAATACTGCTCTAACTTTGATTTGAATTTAAATACCCAGGAGAAATGTATAACCAAAGATGTAAAAGTTATAGTAATGTACACTACAGATAAACAGGGGCTTCAATCACTAACCCCTGCTGTTTTCAACCACACCAGGAGACAGGTCTGAGAGCCAGGTGGTTACAATCATTCTTTGCATTCTAGTATTCATGCTTTGGTAATACGCACTTTAACGTTTGCTTATTTATTCTTGCCTTAAAGACTACCCTTACCAAAATTGCTTCCCCTACCTTATCCGGGTAACGTGTTCCACATGAAAAAACACAATAGAGAGAATGAAGTTCTGCTCGCAGAGTCTGAAGAAACACATAGGACAGGGAGGAATTGTCAGAAATTGTGGCCCTGTGTTTTCTATCAAAGCATACCAAGAAGAGTGCCTCCGTCTTAAATTTTATCTCACCCTAGGCTTCCCTCCTCCACCCCATGTACCAGGGTAGCAGTAACAGTTACAAGGAACATCAGCGGCTTGGACTCCTCATCAAGACCTGACTCAGCATAGGTCCTACCTCCTCTCCCCAGAGAAGCAGAGACCCAAGGACAAGGCCATGTCTCCCAGGATTCCCATGGCTGACAAGGGGAAGGAGCTTCTTCTCACAAATCGACCCCAGGGTGCTTCAGCCCTGATGAAAGAGGCAGATCTGGATCCTCTGTGGTTCCTCTACCTGGGGAGGGGCTTCCTAGGTCCCCCACACTCCCTCTCCTTGACCTCCCTGAGTCTGGTCCTATGTGTTGCTGCCATCTGAAGCAGGGAAAACTGAACAAAAACCTGATTTTCACTCAGGTCCCAGAGGGATCAAAGAGATTGCCCTCCTGAGAATTCTGCGTGTTGAGGTGCCTAGCAGGCAGTAGAGGGTTTTCTAGAATGTTTTGGGACCTTCTCTCTGGGGCGGGGCTTCCTCAGTCCTCCCTCAGTCCTCTGGGTGACCTATCTGATCCCAGGTCCTCTGTACTCTACTTGCATGAAGTCTGGGCCTCAGAACGAGTCTCAGACTCCATACTCAGGGTCCCCCGAGGACAAAGCGGTTCAAACATGAGAACTTTTCCCCGAATTACAGGGCTGAAACACAAGTAAATAGGTACATTATGGGACCCTGTCCCTGGAGTGAGGTGTCCTCACTCCCTACAGCTCCTTAATGTGATCCTTAAATGAGCTCAGCCCTCTCTGCTCTCCTCACTTGAAGTAAAATCCTCAGAAGACATCTCACGCCTCTCTGAACCTGCAAAGATGGGTCAGGGGAAGTCACAACCAGCAACAGACCTGGCGCCTCCTAGGGCTGACTGAAGGAGAGCAATGGGATTCTCAGGGGCCCTCCTTCCTCCTCATCTGTTGTCACCAGTGTTCCTGCAGAGCTGGGATCCTATCCTCTCTGGACCTGAGTCTGTTCCACTCAGATCAAGTCTCTAACTCCCAAGATCCCCTCGGAGGAAAGAGGTCTCGCTTGAAAATTCCTCATGAGGGTGGAAGGCTGATAAGGCAGGGAGACCTGGCTTGTCTGAGGACTCTCTTTGGATTGGGATTTCGCTACAGGAGGCACAGCCCATCATCTAGACCCCTTCACCGAGCACAGGTCTCCATGTT